GAGCTAGAAGACATTGCCAGGCATAGCGCCATAAATCGAAACTAAAAAAAAACTTTTTTTTTCTGTACCTGTGTATAAGACGCACCCCCGACTTTCAAATTTTTTCGGCGGCAAAAAAGTGCGCCTTATACACGGAGATTTACGGTAAATGTTTATTGGATGGAACCATGATGTAAATGGTTACTTTCCAAGCAAAACGTTTTTGATGAACGGTGCCCTTTAAATAAAACTGATATTAGGCCCGAGTCATGTCGGGATTTTCATAAACCGGGTCCCGACGGCCTTGTACCGATCAGGACCCGGTGTCCCGAAATCAGCTCGCAGGATTTGTCACTTGCCTCTACAAAAAGCGCACATCATCAGTATGTCCCTTAAAAGTGACCTTTTTTATCAATCAATTTAATAAGCACATGCATACCTTGGCTCAGATCGGTATATTTTTCCATTTGACATTATTTTCATCCATGATTGGCGATGTTTAGTGCCATTTTCGTGCCTCTAAAAGTAAAAAAAACTGGGGCAGAAATGTAAAGACAACATTCGAGCCGCCATTTCGATTGATGCAGGTTGAATAAATCTGGTCAAAAAATATGAATGTTAGAATAATAAAACGGCTTTCTAAAAATTTCTTCTGTACAATAAACCGATCATATATTTTATAGACAAAATAAATATTTATCTCTTATTTTAAATATCGCATGCTTTTTTTTTAAAAGCTGAAAATTACTTGGTAATCAAGAGTTTCGATACGGATAGCGTTGCAAGGCAAGTTGAGACTAGTCTCGGAAAAATGCGCAGTGCTCCTCGTAATTAGCTGTAATGCGTGCCAGAACAAACCCAAACAAAGACGTGATCGTAACGAGAAAAAAAATCATTGAAAACTACGAGAGCACGATTGGAAAGACAACTACTGCTCAAAATTACCATAATCAGATAGATAACTTGGACAAAGAATTCATTAATCGCCCAAGAAATGCCACAGAAATTGTGATAATCGAGGAGTAACTGGGTACATTTTTATCGCAAGGAGCCTGCTGCAAATACTTGAATCCTTTGTTATACTGCTTTTTACCGTAGAGGGCGGTATTTGCCTCGTATAGCCTCGTGTTCAATTTAAACACATGTAATTCGGATATTGCAGCAGGCCCTTCCAATAATGATTGTACCTATAGTAACTCCTTAAATATCACTATTTATGTGGCTTTTCTTGGACTACTATTGTTTTCTTCCTCCAAGTTATGTATCTGCTTACGATAATTTTAAGTAGTTGTCAATCCAATTGTGCTCTCGTAGTTGTTAATGATTTTTTTCTCGTTACGATCATGTCTTTTTTTTGGTTCGTTCTGGCACGCATTACAGCTAACGAGGAGCACAGTGCGCATTTTTCCGAGACTAGTTTGAACTTGCCTTGCAACAGCTATCCGTATCGAAACTTCTTGTGATTACCAAGTACATGTAATTTTCAGCTTTTAAAAGAAGCATGCGGTGTTCAAAATCAAAGAAAATATATATTTTGTCTTTTAAAAATTATTCGATCGATATGTTGTAAAGAAGTACTTTTTAGAAAGCCGTTTTATTATTCAAACATTAATGTTTCTTTCAACCTGATTCCTGCCGAGAGACCCGGCCAGTACAGTAGCTAGATAGCAGCTGGCAACAACGACCCCATGGGGCGAACTGCCTAATTGCAACCCATATTTATATCAGCAGTTCGGATTGATTCAGGATGAGCTAGAATATGATTGGTAACCATTAAATACTCAAGTTTTAAGGTGGATTGATTTTAGTGGTGTGCAAAACTGCAATTTCTTACATATTTCATTATTTTTTTCGGAGCGTCGGTTCTCAAAAAACGAAACCGGGACCCGACGGCAACGGTCGGGTCCCGGTGTGATCGACCGTACCAACTCAAGCCTAACTGATATGAGACTGATATTGTACGTACATGTACAGGTAGTATCAGACTATACATCCTGCTTTAAAGGCATCGTTTAACAATGTTAAATCTGAGATGCATGGCCCTACCTGTTATCAGTGTCTGTGATATTGTGTAATATTGAAGCCCTAAAAAAAAAAATCGCGCTTCAAAATGATCAAGAACTGCCTCAAAAATAGTACAAATCTTTGAGTGACTGGTTTTACCATACTCATTTTCCCCAATAGACTGTAGTGTTATGAAATTTTGATTTCAATCATAAATATCTTGATAATCAGACAGGCAATCGGCTTGTAAAAGTCATGGGGGTTCCTGACTGACCTAAAAGTTTATAATTATCATTGCAGCATGAGTTATAAATCCAGGATTTTGTTTCAGAATCTGAGACAAAGTTACCGGATCCCTTTAAAACTGGAGTGATAGGGTTTACATGGTTGGACAGCATCCTGAATCAACACTGAGAGATAATGATGATTGGTTGGCTATTCTTGTCTATCTACAAAACACCCCCATCATTCATTGAACCAGTACGTAACATCCTAATCATCAAACCTACAAAGCTATCACTCTATCTAAACTTGTACGACGTCTAATAACATTCTCATTCTCAATTGTACATGTACATGCAGAGTGAACTCTATATTTGTAGGTTGCTTTATAAAAAAAAATGAAATACCGGTAAAGTAATTTTATATTATCATAGTACTTTTCATGTGGGTGTAATAGAAGCTGGGTATGACATATGAAGTGGGGGTATTGGAGGGGGTGGGGGAATGTACTCTCTCTAAACCAGTATGACGTCTAATAACATTTTCATTCCTGATTGCATGTACGTGCAGAGTGAACTGTATATTTCTAGGTTGCTTTATAAAAAAAATGAAATACCGGTAAAGTAATTTTATATTATCATGATAATTTTCATGTGGGGTGCAATATAAAAGGAAGCTGAGTGTGACATAGGAGTGGGGGGGGGGGGGGTATGCATGTACATCGTCCATTTTCTGAGGGCGGGTTGGAAGTGATCATATGCCCCCTCTTCAGAACTGATACCACATGGGGGGGGGCGGGTAGAATCTCTTATTAGCATTTGGGGGATATTGCACAAAAAGAGTCAAACAATATGCAATTAAATGAAACATATAGGCCCATACGCTAATTACTTTTTATGGCATTTGTCGAAGGAAAATGCATCGTAACTACTGGTACAAGTTTTCTAAAAGCACAAAGTCTGACTCATATTGTTTTGCAATGATGCAGATGTTTATATATCTAGGGCACTGTGGGCATTGTGCGCACTGAAAAACAAAACAAAACAAATCATAACAAAACTCTTTTGATTACTTCCTGTCAGTGTCACAGCCTTCCAGAAGTATTTCTGAGAATTGTTTATTGGGTTATTACCTGTACATTTGTCATCTCTATAATGGAAAGATCATGTTAACTATTGATTAGTACAGGTGTTGTGGTCTAGTGGATAAATCTTGGGACTGTGAACCATAAGGTATGGGTTCAAATCCTGTCGCAACACTAATGTCCTTTGGCAAGACATTACCACACTTGCCACAATTGACTCGGGTGTAATAAGTGGGTACCTGGTAGGATTCATTCCTTGAATACCAGATATAAAACCGGAGTAATAAAAACCAAAGTCCTTTGGCAGTGCATATAGATGCTTTATCATAATGTGATATGTGCTATACAACATATTATTATTATCATTTCAACATGTCAGGATGGAATAAATAAGACGAATCTTCATCAGACGAAAAGAAGTGAATCAGAACATTGACGACCAATGAACAACTTGCAATCTATAAACAAAATCCATACAAGCAATAGCAGGTCTGAGAGAAGTGAATTCATATTCCTCAGTCTCATGTACGCACCCCTACAAAGGCATTTAGCTCCAAATATAGCCGAGTACAATAAACGCGATCCAGGACATCATTTATTTACCTTTCACAAATACAAACTATTGGCTGCATAAGAACCCAAACAAAAGTAGAAATATGAATGTCTAGTACAGTGGTAAAAAATTGGGCTTATAAATACACAATGGTATTATACTGAAAAGCTTTTAATATCGCTAGCTATCATCACATGAGCAACAGATTCAAGATTCAAGTTTAATTGTTCCCTACAAGAGCTTAGCTCCGAATATAGCCACATACAATAAACGCGATCCAGGACATTATTTATTCACCTTTCACAAAATCCAACCCATTGGTTGCATAAAAACCCAAACAAAAGTAGAAATATGAATGTCTGGTACAATTCTGCTTATAAATGCACAATGGTATTATACTGAAAAGCTTTTGATATCGCTAGCTATCATCACATGAGCAACAGATTCAAGATTCAAGTCTTATTGTCCACAGGAGTTTGCTTTCTAGTGGTTTTACATGCGATGGAAACGTGACATAGAGAAAGAAGACAGAACTGGTTTGAACCCGATCTATGGTGAATCATGGAGATAAGAACACTTGACTCTGCAGTTCTAAACATTTGATTAAAGTCAGAAATAGAAAAGAAAGGAGGGAAATCCTTAACAATTTGCTACTAATCGCCCATCAATCATCATGCCTAGCTCTCTATACATTGAGCTTTTACAATCCAGAGTTGCAGAGAATCAATTATTGGTCTGATGATTATTATAGTAGCTTAGCCGAAGTAATGTTACTGTCTGTAAATGCATTAACATGAAGGTTATCAACAAAGTAAGGCAAATTATCTGGATACTTCAACTCAATATAGACCAACAGCCCCAGCAACCAACAATGAACAAATATGTCAGTCAGCTCATGAGTCTAATGTTCATGTGTGTACTCCAAAAATTGACCTGTAGTTTTCTGTAAATGCAATATATTTTCAATAAAATAAAAAATGTTTGCCCCAAAATACTCATAGAGCAGACAGAATTACATTGCATATTTTTTTGATGTCTAATTAAAACAAAAATCAGTTGGATCTCTCACAATATTTCAATTGTTGGAAGGCAGCTCCAGTATTTGTCACTTTCTCTACTTTTATATAAACAGAAACAAATATGACAGAAAGTACTTACAGAGGAAGGTTTATCACTAAACTGTAGTTATCCAAGTCTTTGGGTATGTGAGATGTTGTCCTTTTGTCTGTGAAGTAATATAAATGGAACAAGGAAATAAAAAAAAATCACAAAATATTAACACAATGCATCAATTACAAATTTATGAACATCGATTGAATGAGCTCACAAAACTGATTTGCATAAACAGCATTTAACCAAAAGAATTATTATCATTCGATTTGATAAATACTTGATTAGCATTTTTGAAGACATTTAAAAATATGAAAGAGCAGAAAGTTCTATTTGATGCTAAAAAAAACTCAAGGTGGCTCTACACTATAGGAGGCAGCAGGGATACATCGATCGGCGCCAACGATTTAAGTCTGGACCCCAAAACTTTAACAACATTTTAACAAAGGGCTCAACCACACAGACACAAACTGTCGATCCTGGCCCCTACAAGTCGCCTCACCTACCATCCCCGTATAGCTTCCTGAGTGAGCTGCCAAAGGGATTACTCAACCAAGTACCAAGTACCAAGTACAACATCAAGTTGCAGTGATAGCCCTGTTAAAGTTTACAGTACCGGTTTACAAATGGACTAGATTCAAGATTAAATTTCAAAGTGAGTTTTAGGTTTCATATCGCAAAATAATGATGGAATCGATATCCAAGCAAAATGATGCTCAATCAAACGTTTCGCTACACACATTTCGTTATAAAACGTTCAGACTGGATAAAAATTAATTACATATCGTATAGCTATACGTTTTTGTGTTTTTTTCCTTGTTTAGCCATATGACAAATTTTTGAAAGTCTGAATGGGGTCTTAATGGGAATGGGGTCATAGCACAAAAAGTATTTGTGATTCTGGCTGATACAGCCACATGCCTCTTGACTATGACTAATACAATTTCCAATGGCAGTATAAATAAAGACAAGGTAATCAGGCCTCACTGATAATCGTTTTTAAAGGTTCTTATGAACACTCAACAGTCAAAATACAAGGGGGTTATATCGGTTCAATAGTTCAAATTTACTTCTATTTTCTCATATTGGATTTCTGTGCATATATAATACATATATAACTACCGGTATTCCAAAAAGTTTGAAGAAAAAAAAAGATTGGAAACTATTAAACCTAAAATAAGAGTTGACTTTGGCAACATACATTGATTAAATATTGCTGAAATATCAACACGTTCCATCTGTTCCATTTCCGTGTTTGTTTTTCCAGTTATCTTTGATGCACATAGGACTTTGGACCAGGGAAATAATGCATTGTAGTGGTGACACAACTAGTCCTGGGAAGATCCAGGAGTGCACCGGAAGACTGAAAATTCCACTCTTAAAAAACCGATCTTAAATATATACTCTTCTTTAAAAAAAAATTAAAAGACTTTATGCATGGCTTTCGGCTGACTTGGCATCAGAGGATGAAATGTGTTAAATTTTGCAAACTTTGGTTTAATTTGGACAAAAATGTTTCATGCATAGACTATTAAAGGTAGTCTGTAAAAATATTATAAAGAATTATTTCCTGATTCTTATGTGAGAAATCTATGTAGATGCCATATTATGCTAAATTGTAGCTATATAATTACTGTGTGTATCCAGGGGCATTTTTATTCTCTGAACATGTTCATTCACATCCGGGCTGACAGCTAAGATAGAGCTTGTAACAAATGATACCCGTCTCATATTACCTACATATACCGGTAAGATGAATACACAAAACACACATAATAAGAGGCATTGAATTGGAGAGTCTGATGCCAATAATCATTACTGGGATATCATCAGCTTAAGTCAATATTGCCAATTGCTGTCAATTAATATAAACCTCGAATTCAAATCAACATCAATCGCCTAAGCTCTGAAGGATTACATTTCTTTGCGCACAAATGTGTATCAAAGGTGTATGTAGCATTTGGCAATAATCCTGTGGTGAAAATCTGCCAAATTCTTTCTAAGTCCAAGATCAAAGTTTGTGGGTTGGCTGCTGAATGTGTGTATATGTAGGTCGCTTACTAAGCTCGGTATTACATCTGTTAAAGAAGGATATAGCTTATAAAGAGCTTCCTAAGTTACCATGAATGTCACTACATGTGGCTACTGTGTATGTGCGTGACTGCACGTACACGTAATATCTCGCCCCCGAATGTTGGCTAGGGGGCAAGGATCTTCGAAATCCGTTCCAAAATTAGGTCATGAGACAGCGCATGAAAGCTGAAGGAAAGTCATCTTGCTGTCTTTTTTCCCCTTTTTTCTCTCTCTTTCAAATGAGACATTGTCTGTTGAGAGTCAGAATGGTGTATATGGGTTAATGCCCTTCTGGCTCTCAGCAGATGGGGTAAGAATAGGCCCGTCTTCATCAGCTTGAGATTGCCAAATAACCTGCTATTCTAACTATCCCTATCGCAAATTATCCAGCTAGTTTGTGTCTTCATTTTCAGCCTGCAGTTTCAATTAGCAGGATATGTAGTCAAGATTTCATCCCGAGATATCTTGGGCTAGTTTGCAAAATATCCCGCTATTTGTCCGGTGCGTCTTCACCAGTCCGAAGACTCACACTATGTGTGAATGCTGAGCAAAATATCTCGAGCTATTTTCTCAAGCTCGGATTTCAAGTTTCGAGGTTGAGTCCACGAGCTGATGAAGACGCGATTCGTAACTTCAGGATTATTACCCAAGTCAGAAATAACGGGCTATTTGGCAATCTTGAGCTGATGAAGACAAACCTAATAAGGATGAGAAGGTAGACCACAGATTTCCTCTTATGATAAAACTGTTTATTTACCTCACATACACACACGTAGACATCAAAGGCAAAGCAAACATGTTAAAACAAATGATGGTGTTCTCAAGTCTAAGAAAGACAGATACAGACAGACAATAAAAGAGAAAAAAAGACGGGAAGACATCTGAAGAGAAAAGATCAGAGAGAAAAGGACAGAAATGGACAGAAATAGGAAGAAAGTGCAGAAAAGGACAGCAATAGAAAGAAAGATGCCCCTTGAGCATTTGATTGTCAAGTGGATTTGGCTCCTTTTAAATCTTATGTAATATTATTATTATTATTAAAAAAGGACAGAAATAGGACAAAAGATGCAGAAACAGACGGATGAAGGGAGAAAGATACAGTAAAAGAAAACTGATGAAGTGAGACACGGAGACAGAAACTTAGAGACAGAATGACTGGGAGTGAAAGAAATGGTGAGAAGGGGGGGGGTGGGATGGGGGCACCAGGCATTACATGTACAAGATCATCCAAGCTCCTAATTGCCAATAATGAAAAAAAGCTTTCTTAGAAGAACAAAGACCAACTTTTCAGTTCCACTCTATTAATTTCTACATGCTCTCCTTTCGAAAAAATGTAATTAATTATAAAAGATCTACAGGAAACTATAGCTCAATTAGTCTATATAAACCTACAGTAAACATCTTTCTTACTTTCTTACAGCTATAATTGTGTGTTAAAAAACTGGCTAAAACTTTGAAAATCTGTAGGGCCTTGGTTGTTCATGAAGTTCATAAACATCCCCAACTTTCCTAACCTCTAGGGATGTATGTATTCTTCAAACATGGAGATTCCTGATGTTATATTTTGAAACTAAAATTATTTTTTCTTTTTCTTTCTAATTCCCAGATACAACTTTAAGCTTAAATTAAAACTATATTTAAAGTATAGTCAGGATGGCTCCAACTGAGCCCCAAAACTTTGCCTGGCCAAGAAAAAGTAAACACTGGTTTTCTCCACACTGTCTGTCAATCCATATTTCCTTTGACCCCCTGCACAGCTAATCAAATGGAGGTCTCTAAGCTGCCCCATAAAAATTGCCCTTGATTATCAAAAACCCTAGTTATCACATCTTGAAGACGATTAGTCAGGGATGATGTTCGCCGGGGGAACAGAATTACAGGCCAGTTTAGGCGATCTGCCAAAGACTTCTCAAACGTCAGACAAGAAATAGGGGCTGGCGTACGCAAATGCATTGTCCTCTCGTTAGGCAGTCCAGAAGTTGAACAATGTTTTGACGCCGCTGTTAATTTGCCAAGTTCAGACTCTCAGAGGGGATTCTTTTCTTTGAAAAAAAATAATACTTTTGATACAAAAAATATGGAAAATAACAAGGTACAGATGTCGGACTGCATAATATTTTCATGAAAAAAGAACCAGTTGATCATGATTCCCGTTTGGTAAGGTGTGTCTATAGAAAGAAATTCTACAACAGCTTTTTTTTTTATTACGATTTAATGGGGTTATATAATGCCAATGAGCTAAAGTTCGAGGCAAATTTAACGGAAACTAAAAACTACATGCATATGACTCTATAATACAAACTTAACTAGCAAAATATAACTTTTAAAACAAGTTCAATTGCACAATATCCCTCTATTCACAATCATATTGTGGACAAATTGACATTGACTTAAAATGAGTCATATTATTTGCCACAATATCTTATAGCTCGAATTGCACCATGTTTGCTTTTCTTTTTTCTAAAGTTCTGATTAAAGAAGGTTTACCATCACAGGAATTTGAACTGCAAGTGGTGTAATTCAAGACAAATATAACTTGGTAGCAAAGTATTTATAACAGTCATATTAAATGGAAATATACTTTTAATCCGCCAGCTTACAGAGCTCATCCACATGTAAACATTATACTATTTGTGTAGATCTGTATACTGTGCATGAATCTCTCTGAATTACAAATCAATTCCCCCAAACCACATCGTTAATTCATTCAAGGTTTTCACTCTGAACGAAGGCTGGCTATTTGGTGAAACGTCTGCTGCAACGTCCTGTCACGACTACATGAGATATCCGATAGAGGTGCTAATACACGACTGTCATTACCTCGTACTTAGGCAGCCAATCCATGGGTCTTAGATCGAACCGTCCCTGGAAACGATACTTCCGCAGTGAATCCCTCTCCTCTGTCAGCTCATGGCTTATTTAAAGAATTCATGTGAATGTAAACACTTCTCATGAATATTCATATCTATTGTATACCATGCCAAATGAATGGAGAATAGAGACTTTATGACACATGCTCCGGCAACAGTTGCTCCAAATTTCTAACTCTATGTTATGCCCTGCCAAACAGACCTGATTACTAATTTTGTGCATATACTTTTGGAACAAGGTTTCTCCTCGCAACTTAAAAGCTTGCCAGGGGCTTGCCTGACAGAGCAACGACTTATGTACATGTATGCAAGGTAGATTCCATCCATAAAGATAGCAGGTGAATAAATGACTGTTAACCAGGGATTAGGTAGGGAAACATTAACAACTTAAAATGCATTAGTAAACAAGAAGATAAAACTCATGCTCCAGGGACGAATCATCAAATTTTTTACTTTTACTGCAAATTTTGAACTTATCACTACACCTAACCTTAAATCTTGAACATAAATCCCAGCCAAGTCTAACCTTAAAGCCCCACTGCACTAAGTAGCTACTTCGCCCTCTATGTAGCAAACAATGCCTAGGCGGTGACCGTTGGTACCCCATGATCTTCTTTTTATTATGTTAATCATGGAAGAGCTGATTTGATGAGATAACCACCTGTCAGTGACCTTGCAGGAAGGTCTAATCCCTCCTCGATAAACTAGTGTAGACAGGCTTCTGCCCACTACATTTCTTTACTTGTACATATAAACTCAGCTTTGAGAACAAGATACTTACAAAAATGATAACCAACAATAGCGAATGTGCAGCTTTAACTACTCACATTATATGTATTCACAACAGGTCATCTGACAACTTCTTCCGAAACCAAGAGAAAAGCAACAAGGACTAACTATAACAATAGTGAGCACTCTCCAAACACTTCTTGTTTGGTTCCTGATGGGACGTTGATAAGTGACACCATGAAGAGGAAGAAGACACAAGACACAACAGCTAAATATATGTACAACAAGACGTCATATGAACGATGGGTGCTTTGAAGGAGACTGCGCATTAGATTCTAAAAGGAGAGGAATAAAGGCAAGCAAGCTCTGCATGTGACAGCTAGGGGGAAGCGACTACGTGGACGTACACACGCAACACGTACGGCTCTGTTTACATGAATCAGCTGTGCGGTAGCGCACCTGTAACACATAATCTTGCCCTCTTGATTTGACCCTTGATGTGTCACATAGCAGCATTGTTGTTGTTGATAAAAATATCGGAGCAGTGATAAGGCAGAACAATGCTTGTGTGATACTTTGACGACTTGATTTCCTACAGGAATGCTTTGTGCATTGGGGTATGATTAAAGACCTTGTCAGAACTGTAAAATGATGTATCAACAGAAAGCTTATGAGCCACAGATAACAATAATCACAGCTATATGCTATTTTGGTGTCTGTCCGAGGAGAAACAGCTCTCTGAAAACTCAATATCTGAAGCTTTCAAATTCAGAAGTTGTCAACCCAAAACTAGACTTGATGACATGGTCTTATGTTGATTATACATATTCCCAATGACTGTGCATCAATTAAAAATGGCTCATCATCTCAGCTACATGTAGGAGAGCCATTCGGGTCAACATGCAGCAAATTAGCTGTTGACCCGCAATTCAAAGGGGGCAGATTTTTTTTTTTGCTTAGCTTTTGTCTAATACTGAGAGGGAAAATATTGTTTATTCCTATATATTTGTACTGAGCTACGACTCCAATGATATAAAGTCGTATTTTCATTGAATAGGGTCTTTAACATTTCAGCCCTTCGTTTATATTTTACAGCCATCTGTGAAGAACGAATCTGCTCAAGGAAGGTCTGTACTTCGTTGTATAATCTATTCTATGATGTATAGACCACATTTTAAATTTTTACGGGTATCAATATATCCCATAGATCATGAATATTTGAAGTTCAGAATAAAAATGTTGAGACTGGGCCGATATTTTACAGTCATCTGTAAAGGACAAATCTGCTCAAGGTAGGCCTGTACTTTGTTGTATAATCTATTCTTTGATGAATAGACCACATTTTTATTTTTACGGGCATCAATATATCCCATGCATCATGCATGAATATTTGAAGTTCAGAATAAAAATGTTGAGACTGATATGGGCCGATAGATACAGATACACCATGTAACTTTTTATCATTTTTTAAAGATTCTATTCTTGCCTGCTATATGAATGTTGTACGGTGCAGTGAGCAATTTAACTAGCTCTCGAAAGCTTCAAAAGTGCTCTGGTATATTGAAAAAGAGCACTGGTAAAAAAATGATAAATACTTTAATATCACTGTGAGAAAATTGCAGTTACATGTAAACAACATCAAAATATAATCGAGCTGCCGCAAACAGAAAAGGATTTAATTGCCCACTACTGTTGCACATACAATTATTAAACATATATTTAAGTGTGCATCCCACAATGAATTGACTTTAGTCATTCATCAATACTTCTAGACTGCATGGATCTGGAAAAGGATTAATGGTGTGTGTCTTATTTTATCTAATTTCTTAAAAACAATCTCCACCTTAATCAAACAGGATGACAACTTGCTGTAAACTGTAACCACTAACCCACAAAACAAATATATATGCACAAGAAGGACACAGAACTTTATTGATTCTACATCACACTCATTTAAGTTGGCAAATCTGCAAATGTCTTGTCTGAACACCCCCCCCCCCCCCACAATTAAGAAATAATAGTAGTGGTAATAGAGAATATAATATTATCAAAATTAGTATTATGTAATTTGCATAGTAGAATCAGTAAACAAAGTTCTAGCATGATGAGCATGTATGGTATTGATGGTAGCAGACCTAGTAGAGTAATAGCATGGTGGGGGGGGGGGGGGGGAGGGGGAGGGGACCGACAAGGAGGATCAAAGGAGAGATGGGAACAAAATGTGAGTCTTTATCATTCAAACGTACATCACATAACCTTAACACCTATATTATATGTATTTGCACTGGCATATTAAGGGGTGGGCAAAACCATTCCCTACCCAGACAATCGTGTACCTACGTTAGGAGCACGATCCCCGAAGTATAACCCCTCCCCTTTAAAAAATGTGCACAAAAAACAAACTATTTCCCCTTTTTAGCAAGTCGAATCATTTTCTTCCAGATTCAGCCCCCCCCCCCCTCCCCCCCCCCCCCCCCCAACTTTTACAAAACCCTGGATATGCCTCTGCCCATCTACATGTACATGTATATTCCTTGTTGGCAGCAGCAGTATGATTATTATTCCACCCCTCACATACATGTGCCCTCCACGCAATCACATTCCCATTCATACGTAGGCAGGTATGACAGCAATATAGTTGCCTTCTGTGCTGTGACCCTAGATACCATTGAATCTTGCTGTCTTCATCAATGATGAGCTGTGCGGTAGATGCAACATCTTGACAAGGCCTCATGCATACCCCAGTCATATCACCAAGACCGATACCAGACCGACATACTGTTATGATATACATGTATGTATCCTACGGGATGGAATGACTTAATAAAGTCCACACATGCGCGTGTATATCTGAACCAATTTCAATACATGGTGGCAGCGGTGGGATCGGAACCCACACCATCAAAATGACTGGTGACCGAATAAAGATTACATTAATTACACCCAATGGCTAAAAGTTGGTTGGTATATATATGCAGTCGGTTAGGAGTCTTTTTGACATTATGATCGAGGTACCACATCTTTAATGATTTTTTTGATAAACTAAGTCTAAAATACAAAATAAATACCGGTATGTGACTCATTTAAGGAATCATCCAAAACGTTCATATGTTTGGAATATAAGACACAACAATAAGGCAATTGTTTATGAGACTGGATGAAAAGCGTTGTGTGCCCACTGGTCAATACAGGTATTGAATATAAGACCTCTTGCTCAATAAATTTGAGAATATTCATGAGGTGACCATGTGCGTAAATGCCCCATGGCTCATGCCACTCATGTAATAAAGGCAAGGTCTCGTTATTGAGGTTTGGCTAAGCTACATATGTACATGGTCAGGCATTATTTCCTTGGTGCACTGGCAGATTTAGATCTAGGGGGGGGGGGGGACGGGTGAGGAGGAACACAAAAATTTCCTTCTTTTCTCCTGGTAGCATGCCTCAAATTAACAGAAAATCTGATAAACCTATCCTCTTTTTTCTCATTTGTGCAAAAAAATTGAATAAATCAACACTTATAAAACATGACAATTTTTTCTTGTCTGAGATTTTCAGAACTCATGTATATGTACCCTCCTTTTTAATGATTTTTTAAAAATAGAACCGTGGATGTGCCACTGCCTGTTTGTATTGCAGATGCCTTCCCCAAAGCTACTTATCAAAGACTATCTATGTCTATGAGGTGGAGGCAGATCTTAAACATTATGCAGGAATCACCCTGGAGCGCTGTCAAGCAAATATGGACATTATAATCTTAACATAGTTTATATGCGTCCATCCACTGTCAATTGTTATGTTACTAAAAAATCCAAGCATTTCTTGAAAGGTTGAGTAAATTAAAAGTAAGAAATATATACACAGGTGTCTTCCATTCATCTCATAAAAATAACATCATATTCTATCAATTCACTTCCAAGGAATTGTGGCAAAAATATTTGACAAATGCTGAGCGATGATCAAAAGGGAAACAAATACATATGTATGCATTGAAGGAAAAAAAAGGCATTTTCAAAAGAGATTCTCCGCCAGCAATCACTTAACATCATTATAGTTGCGAATTTGAAACATCATATCATGGGAACATATAAAAAGTCATTAAAAAATGCATCCTTATGGCCTGCATTACAAAATCGCAGATGGGATGCTCGATACAGCTACAGTTTATTAAGCTGAGGATAAAAATGAATTTAACATACCAGACTGCTTCTGGGTAAAGCCGACTTTTACACACACGATGGAGAGACACAGACAGAGACACCGGCGTATACGAGGGCAGAAGATGGTTGATGGCAGGCGATATTGCATAAAATTAGAATATATGCATCTCCCTAGCTCTGGATACAACAAAAATTGCCCACTGTTGGATCCTGGGTATAATAAAACAAAACATGAAAGGGATTATCAGCTGTGAACCTTTCACCGGTTTCCTGCTATTGAAGTCTCCCCCTAGCAGCTGATGCGTAGAGAGTAATGAGAAAGGCCGTTACGCAGGGTATGACCGAACAGCTAGCAAACAGAGGCACATAGGAAAAAGAGAGCATACGTATACATGGGTGGATGCACACGCGCATCACCGGTAGCTAGCAGCAAGGCTAATGAGAAATGCACTCTGATGATAGCGGGGTATAACTAAGCCCTGATGTGCATGTGTGTACATGTGCGTTGGCATGCACAACAGAGAGGTCACCCTACTTCAACCCTTTTTCTCTCTTGCGCTCTCTCTTCAATATTGCATGACAGTCCCTTCTCTCTTTCTCTGTATCATTGCCTTATAATAAATGTTAGTGGCCTCTCACCCTCCCTGTTAACGGCCTGCTCCTCTCTCATTATTCTATCTCGTTCATTTTTTTTTTGCCCTTTCTTCCATCTTTGAACCATAATTACAAAACAGCTCTCTCTCTCTCTCTCTCTCTCTCTCCCCCTGTCTCATTCTTTACAACCCTAGCTCTTAATTACTCCTCATTTCATTGCTTCCTTGCTCTCACTTTGTCTGTCTATTTATCTCTGTCTGTCTTTCTCTCTCTCTCTCTCTCTCTCCCTCTGCCTCCCTCCCTCTCTCCCTCTGTCTGCCTCTCCCTCTCTCCCCCCTCCCCCACTCCCTCCCTCCCCCTCTCCACCTCCCTACCTACCTCCCTCCCTCCCTCCCTCCCTCCCCTCCCCTTTATCTCTCTCCCTCCCCCGATCTCTCTCTCTCTCTCTCCCACTCTGTATTATATTTATACAGCCTGGGAACCCCTCCCCTTCTCTCTGTACCCATTTCCACGAGGTGTTTCTTGGCCTGAATTCAAGTATGATTCAAGTCAGACCCAAACACAAGATGAGTCATTCTATGCATGATTAAAGGGCCAATTAGGTCTTAAAAGGAATAGTGTTTCCTATGCTGGGATCGAGCCAAACACATATACACTGTATGTACATGTACCACTCCTTTATGTCGAGAAAAGACCACATAATATCTTCATTAGCATGTCATACAGGATATACCGGTATATTTATGGAACAATCTCCCGGAACATTTAGAAAACATTGACTCCATTGTTAAGTTTAAGATTGCTTTAAAGACACACTTATTTAACATTTAATTCATCCATTTTGTCTGTTACCCAGTACATCTTGTCTTTGTATTTTGTTGTGTTTTTCTCTAGAGCGCTTAGGGACATGTTTTAATACTATGTGTTATGGGCTATACAAGAACGGTTAATTATTATTATTATTATAGAATTTCAGTTGAGGGTCAATTTTATCAGGACAATGATTATTTTATGCCAGCTGCAATCTCACCTCTGTTTCTTTTAGGTAGATATCTCTCTGCATCATCAGCTTATAGAATATTATTTTGACAAACAGAGATGAGGTGAAAATCTTAAAAAGCAGCCAAAATCCAGCAGCATTCTATAAGCCCTAAAGACATGCAATACATAAACAAAATCATAGTCCATACCTTCATAACATGTTACATGGTCATATTAATCACCCAAAATGCAGGCACAATAAGCATGGTACCTCACCAAAGGGTATATTCAAAGACAGAATGTACACATTTGAGTCATAACAAATTCAAGGTGACTAATGATGTAGCATAAATATTTCATATTTAGCAATCATTAGGATCATTTACACTGTCTAAAAAACATTTTGAAACACCATTGTTTTTCTTTTTACTGTCATTAACACTACAGAAAAAACCCATAAAAGAACTGTCTGTGTTTGATAATTTTGTTTTGTTTCCTCTGGTGAGTTATGGGTATGCCCCACTTGTCGTCGCCCTGCATGCGGTAGCGCAGAAGCAAGGAGAGTCACGTCAGTGTTGAATATATTTATATATGTCCCCCCCCCCCCCTCAGTGTTATTTAGGGTACGCATATGCATGTTCCCTCCCTTTGAAAGCACCCCGCTATCAAGATTTTTGTGTATTATGGGCCGGACTTTGTTGCGTGAAAAGTACCCCTTTACCAGAGATTTCGAGGACATGAATGTGGTCCCTCCAACCCTGGGGGCCGGGATATGTGTACACACTTACACATAGTGTTATACATTGACTGTAATTAAGGTATGACAGCAGCTTATTTGCAGCTATACATTTTCCTCACCCACATTTAGAATAATACAAGTAAAATCAGCAGAAAAAATAAATAAGAGAGATGAGCGATTCAGCTCTCGAAAGTTCCAAAAGCGCTCTGAAAAATTGAAAGAGGTCTGGTCAACAACAAAAAATACTGTAATATCACTGTAGGAAAGTTAGACTTAAATGTACATGTAATAGATAGATAGTGTCGGTTATTTTATCTGACAGCTAAGAAAGCAATAAATGCTTGTTAGCATTGCAACCAGAAGACCGATGACTTTAAGTCCTCTCTGAGGGACCTGGTAATGAGGATTAATGCCATACCAAGGGGTAATAGCGCATCGACTTGGTTTTGAACCTGGGTCACGGGATTACGAGACCACTGCTCTACCGACTGAGCTATCGCGCTTCCTTGTACATGAAGTATACAGCACCAAATCCTCAAATAGCGACAGATACACTGTAAGTATTTTTTTACAATAAAGCGCTTTTCAGGACCACAGGCCCTCTCAAAGCACTTTACAGATACCTGTACATATTATTACCCCGGTCTTCGGATTCAGGCTTACCCGCACACAATGTATGCACATCCTCCACTCCCTGGGGAGCATTCCAGCAAGGCGTCATTTTTACAAGCGCACACTTGCTCATCTAACCACATTAACTTTCACATCCTCCCGGGTACCCATTTAACATCTGAGTGGAGAGTGGCAGATGTAGATCAATATCTTGCCAAAGGACATTAGTGCTGCGACTGGACTTGAATCACAGACCTTGTGATTCAGTCCGGTGACATATCCACTCGACCACGACACCACAACATTCACTATGAACATGACTGACAAAGAAAGCGGACAAAATATACAGTTCCTCAGTTAGACAAAGGAACAAGTTCACTGCTATTATGTAAAAAGGTGAATATACATGTGACACCTGTTCTACACATTTGTACATAATAGCAGTGAAGGGATGTTCCTTTGTCTACCTGAGGAACTGTACATTTTGTCCGCTTTCTTTGTCAGTCATGTTCATAGTGATTATCAGAAGAGTATGATCATGAGGTATTGAATTTCCATGATATGGGGGCTCTTTTTGGCATTTCGGGGGCGAATTTCTCCCGGAGCCCCCATGTGTTTTTTTCCCCTGGAATTCAGGATAAAGCCATCCTCGGCCGACAGCAAAAATGGTAGATGGCATATCCGGTCATTACTATTAAATAAATCTGTCAGATTCTGGACTACTGAAATCGACCATTTTGTAAGACCAGCTAGTCCTAAAAGTGTAAGTCCACTCTCGGTGATTAATAACATGTGTTATTGGATGAATACATAAATGGTTTCAATTCCCCACGATAAGCCGGGATAATATGATTTTACTCATCAGTTGCACCAGAGGACAAACTTCCTTCCTGAAGCTATTAACCAAGTCGAAACAATAACATACATGTACATGCACAAGAGGATGTCCAACAGCAACACCTTCACAACAAACATATATGAGGAAGGTCCATCTTTCAAAACAATGGACTAAATCTGGAGTATAACTATTAATACCTCATTGGCTCCTGGCTCCATCATGGTACTTAATGAGGCCACCCATAAATGACACATATCCCATGTGGTGTCTAGCAGTCTGTGTCTCATGGATTACCTAGCCCTATTGTCTTCAGATCTCATAATACGCTTTGTCATCCAGAGCACCGTTTCATAAGTACTGTTTCGCTGACATATCCCATTGAAAAGCGTGTTAATTGTAATAGGCGCGTTTCAATGGAATGTTGGCAAACTTGTTCTTTCTTGAAATTAAGTGGTTTCTTGAAACGATGCCTTGGGACCCGTTTCTGAAAGCCTTTTTTCAATGACAAATGACAAAAATCAGTGACAAATCTGTTGATAACCAATCAGAAGCAAGGATTTCAGTAGCTTATAACAAAAATTGTCACTGATGACAAGTTTTGTGAAACGCCCCCTGGATTCTCTATACACTGAAGGAGGCTTGTGTGCACTAGCCCCTAAAGATAAAATTGGTAGTGATTAAATTTTTTTTTTTTTAAATTCATTTATTAGTATTATTATCATCAATTTACATATTTCCAGCTATTCATTTACATATGTACTTACTTTTTCACATTATTTTTTTTAATTATTCATTTATTTTGTTATTCCTTTCTTTCCTTATATCATTATGTTTTTAAATGCATATTCTGTAAATTGTAAGCAATTCAGCCATCTGCTACCATTTTCAATGTGTAAATAAACCATAACTAAATGATAAATTATTTCTTACTTTTTCATTTTTTGTCTCTATCTAACACCTACATTTTTTTTCTTCAACCGACCGACCCCTGTTTTGGCAACTAAAGGGCTTAACTTCTTTTTTTTTTTATTTGGAAAGCAGGGGGGGGGGGGGGGTGGTCATACAGTATGTACCTGTGCCTGACCATCAATTTTGCTGTTGAACTCTTAAAGGTTGTTATTTTGAACCTTTCTCTGTTTGTCTGTCTCAATGAGATCCAGACAGGTCTACAAAGTTCTTGTTTTAATAGCTGATATTTTTTCCTGAAGTCTAAAGCAAAACTTTTGGAGGAGTGCATGCACGAGACCCATACATGTATTTAATATTAGTTATCTGGGGATCTGAAGTGAATTTTTTTGTATATCATGTTATTTTATTCATTTTTTGTTAAATATTGTTCACCTTATTTTCATGTATCTATTCATATTTATTTAATTAATTCATTCATTTAAGTACATTTAAATACATTTGATTATCTATTTCTAAATTAATTAATTAATCATTTATCATTTATCCTTCTTTATATTTAATTCTATCCATCCATCTACATGTACATGGGCATTTCCACGGTAATAGGGTACTTCTGTGTGTGAAAGAATAAAGCGCTTACAGAAAAATTAAATAAATATCCTGTGGCTTTCTGTGTTTTTATTTTCATTGTTGATGGTATAAAGAAATAAAAAAGACAATTCCATGCACTAATAATGTCATTTGGTTGTGTTGTCCTCTTTTCTTTAATGATTATTATTAAAAATTCCAAAGTACAATCAGTAAATGTTGAGTGGTGTGATTTTGAGGGTGATGCAAATAAAAATTCTAAAAAGAAATTGATGTTTCATGTTTTGAAAAGAGATTTTGATGCGGGTGGATTACGGCATTGATCATAGTTACGGCGATTGAGCTTTAAAGAGGGAGAGTGAGAGAGTTGAAAATTACATTGGCTGAATGAGAGATTCTGTCCACCTGTGTTACGTACGTTCAGAGTGAATTTTCCCACAATTATTAGTTGTGTCACCCAACAGTTTTATGTGCTTTGCAACTCTTTTGATGAAGGTTGAAATGTAGACCAAGAAAAAAATCGTCAAAATAAACGCAAATAGAGATAAAATCTATTCAAAATTTGGAGTGCAATATTCGGTCCAACTCACGAACGTACGTAACAACTAAAAAACCGGACCGTGGCGTCCGCGAATATGACGCATGGATAATCCACGTATCAGTCAAGTGAACCAAGGCACTGCAACGTTTGATTGTACTTGCAATCCATGCGCTGACTTCTACAATCGCGGGGCCGTGTAGCTCTATATAACTTCTGTCCAGTTTGTGCGTACGTTCACGGTTGCTGGTAGTTAGAACGACACGTACGCACGTATGACAGAACATGTTTTCTGTCCTATTTACGTACGTGTCGGACGTGAGCAGCAGACGACATCCGATCGTAATTAGATTAGGCTTTGAAAATCGTGGAATGGTACGTATTTGTTATTCAAAATCTTTTTGAAATACAGTAAAAGATCATAATATGTTTCCGAAAATGAGTCATGTGTAACTTTAGTGGTGTACGATTATATTTTCCTCTTCTGGTCTGCTAGTGCTAAATTTTAACGTGTAGTGATATTATTACATTACAGTCCCATATGTAGCTTTTCATGTATGCAACACTGGTAACTCTCGCCGATCTCGCATTTTCAATAGGTGCAACCGCAACCCAATTTAGCTCACGCAAAAAAAGCAACTGCAGTTGCCTAAATCAGGAAAAACAAAAAAACAAATTTATACTTACCAACAGCTTGCTTGATTACTTAATGTTGGTTATCTTCAATAAATTGTGTTTTCTTCAAAAGGTCGCATTAAAAAAAAAAATTATTTTACTTTTCAATGGATGACATTTTATACACAAGAATTATTTCATTATTGAGCCTACACTAAATTATACAAAATATTGCATCTACATTACCTGAGTCATATCATTGCATTGATATTTTACAATCCTTCTGTTAATCATTTAATGCCTTCATGTTTCAAAACCAGGAAATATCTATCTGTTTGGAGTGAAAATGTGCATGATTACTATTAACGTGAGAAAATCTTAACAAGTCAAAAAAGAAAAAAAAATACAAATACATTTAAATTTGAATTAGCACAATGGATTTTAAACTCATGATTTTTTTCATCTTTAATTCTTTTGATTTCAGGTGAAAGATGTTGTGGGAGAAGATCTTGTCATCAAGTACATGGCCGAGTCGGAGTCTCATCCGGGGCTATTTATATGGCCAGCACGTGAGGATGTGTCTCGGGAATGTAGAAAACAGATAGTGAAGAAAATGCCTAACCCTGTCCTTCGGGAAGACATCAGCAGCACTAGATTACAATTTTTCACCTTTGCAGAACTCTCCCCAGAATCATGACTTGTTCCATACAATTTATGAATGTCTTATTACTCATAGATTGGTTAATAATGAATCGAGTCATTCCAACTTCTTCAGAGAACTTGTGTAAAGTCCAGCACACCCGATATCGTCCCAAACCATCGGTTTTAAAATCCTTACAATATTCTCTGACTCTCGTGTAAGAGGAAAACCTAGAACTGCGTGTATTGATGTTAAAAAGGAGACATGATTAAATGGCTGGATCGTGCTAATTTATTGTTCTCACGTTGTACTTCAGTAAGGTTTTAATCACCTCAATAGACTTGTGTGTTATGAAAACAAATAAAATTCATGGAAAATTGGCACAAAGACACAATTATTTACTGAAAATATTTAATGAATGCTCAATTGAATTGATGCATTATAATATGCAAAATAACCCATTGAGTATGCAGTGTCAAATCTTTTTTGAATTTCAGATCTGAATTACATCAAAATGATTGTTATAAATACATGTATTTGATTTGAACTTACTTGAAATGAATGATCATAATTTTGAGCAAAAATAGAATTAAATAGAGCATTTATGAAAAATTAAGAAATATAAAAGGTAAATATCATACACATTGTAGTTAGCAGATAAAAGAACTCTAGAATAAAAGCATACAAATCCTGTATAGACAATTTGTAATTAACGACATGATGTTTGTGAAATATCAATGAATAGTGTTTGCCTTTTATTCTATATTGTGTCAACTACTTTCCCAGTCTTGATGGGAATTGATTACAAGCTAATGCTTACATGTAGTGAAATGCATGCTCAATATTATTGTTTAATAGTCTGTTATTATTGGGCTCTGTGTCCGAGACACATTTTGGCTACTGACTATTAAAGACATCACCTAGACTACTTTTAAATTTGTATATAAGGTTTTGTGAAATTTCAATTTCAATGAAATGATTAGTGTTTGCCTTTTATTCTATATTGTGCCAACTTCTTTCCATGTGACTATAGTTACTATCTTATCATTTTTAAATTTGAATTTGCAATTCAGGTGTTCATAATTTTATAAATTTATATAAATGGTTCATCCATGGACAATTTAAGTTGTACACTGAAGTTTGTTGCTTGCTTTTGCAGTTGGTCAAAAGATTAATGAGAGGTGAGATAAGATTTCAAAACTATCAATTAATCTATTTTACAGATTTACAAACCGTATATCAGTTGGCAAATTCATTGATTTCATTATACTTAATAATTAAAGACCATTCACATTTCACTTATTCTCCATAAATCTGCAGCTTTTGAAGTTCTGATACGGAACACATGTAACATTGGCCAGGCAGTGATTTGAAACAAAATGAATTTACAATGACCTAAACACAAAACAATTTAAAATGATCAATACAATGAAACATTTTAACCTATGCAACGCTTATGAATATATTGATTATGAAATATGTGTCCCAAAACAGAATTCAAACAAACGTTTAGATGCCTGTTCTGTCCAACCGTTACATACGTTCCCTATTCTTATTAATTGGTTCCAACATGCATCAACAATTATAACTTCTAGATTTTATTTTATCCTGGAATATATGAACATAGCATCAACATCCAGTACACAGTGACACCAAATTAATAGAGTACGCACCATTAAAACATGTGTGAAAGATTTATTCATTCAATAATACATGATACATTGCAAACATTCCTTAAATATTTGTTTTTCTGATTCACAAAAAAAGCTATAAAAAAAAATTAAAAAAAGAAGCAAAATCTGAGATGATTGTTAAATTGATGTTTTATTGATACTTAACTCACATGAATGAACATTGCATTTATATATTGAGCAAATAATAAATCAGAGGTAATTTAAGTTACAAATTTCTGTCCAATGTTACATACGTTCCCCCCAATACATGTCCTACTTTACGACCTCTGCAAAGTTAACATGAAATCACACTTATCTTTTCCCTCATAAAAATATAGAATATAGATATTGGACAAGCAAAGGGAGAAATTTGATTGCTCTAGGGGTGAAAACAATTTTGACCATATTTACATCACAGAAGTACCCACTTAACATGGAAATGCCCACATGTATCTACTTTTTCCATTTTCAATCTATTCATATATTTTATTAATTGATATTATTATTATTAGTATTTCTATTTATTTATTATTATTTTTTTATATTTTTTAAAAAATTTATTTATTTATTTATTTTTTATTTATTTATTTTATTGTTATTATTATTATTATTATTTTTTTTTTTTTGGGGGGGGGGGGGTCCATATGTATCACTTGCATAAAACTTACCATCGATGGTAACTTTGCCATCAATGGCAACTACCATGGTAACAAGGCTCAACAGCCAATCAAAATCAAGGTTTCCATGGTAGTTATCAATGATGGCAAAGTTACCAGCAATGGTAAGTTTTGTGCAACAGGACCCTGGCAGCCAATATGGCTTTTAAACTCTCAATGGCCATCCATTGCAACCTTTCGTCTGTTTGACTGTCTCGGTGAGTTCCAGACACATTTCAACAGTTTTGTTTGAATAGCTGAAAGAGCTCGGTCATCTAGACTGGTTATTTATTCAGTTGAGTTGATTTTAAAATATCTGGACAGCCTGAAACAATTGAACGCACCTTGAAAGTTGAAACCATGATAATAAGAGCAATATTTTAGTTCATATGAAGGCTATACTGGGACACAATTAGGAAAACACAAACAGTACAAATTGAACTTTGGAAAAATAATTGTTCAGTACTTCTAACACAATAGTCATGTTATACATTGAAAGTCATTGTATACAAACTGTAGCCACTCTATGCTTTATCAGACTAGATGTTCGTTCAACCTTTTTTGTACATCAATTATAATAAAAGTAAATTAGAGTTCTATTTTTTCAGGGAAGGCAGTGTAGGCCTGTGCATGAAAGTGTAACTGGACCACGTGAAAGATGACTTGTTAGAAATCACTTTCACTGAAAGGTATGTCTGACAGCTACAAATATTAAATATGGCCCTTCAATGACTGAATATTACATGAAGTTATGAACCGACTTGACTTCCTTACTCATCTTAGCTAATTCTTCACCAACATGTATTACAGATTTTTAAGTTTGTTTGATTCTGTGATCAGTGGGATAGCTTAAACTTAAAAGGGGGCGTGGGGGACACACGCCCCCTCAATTAAATGGAGAAGAAAAAAAGGGGGTGGGAGTAACATCAAAATAAGACACTACAAGCTCTTCTTCACCCTCCATCTCAAAATGACCTTGTTCATTTGAATTTCATCTATTTGGTAGGCATGGTGCATATTTTTTTTGTCATCATAAATCAAGATTATTTTAATATCACAAGGCTATCCGCCTGCATGAACATAAAGACAACTATGACAAGGTTCATGTAAACATGATTATATACATGCTGAAGTCACATCAGGGGCGTTACTAGAGGGGGGGGGGGGTTCAGAAGGTGTGACACCCCCTTAAAAATGTGGGCAAAATAGGAATCTTTCTAACCTGTTCAAATTTGGAATGAAAAAAAGATGACCTTTCTTGTTCTTTGTAAGCCAATTTCAGTTAAAACGTCTAAAGTTGTTTTCAGATCACATCTAAGCAACTTAGTTTTGCAAGCCAACTTTATGGCAAAATACTTACTGATCAGCATTGTGAAATCACACGGGCAATCAAAAGTAATGCACAATTAATGCATCACAATAAATGCGCGCTGACATAATTGTGCACAGGTTATCATCTGGTAGGGAGCTGTCTTAAATTTACCTTAAAATACTTGCCAAAAGTTTGAACTGAATACCAAAATTGGCTAAGTATTTTATTTACCGTATTTGCCGGTGAAAAGGCGGCATAATTTTTGGAAGAGAAAATATCAAAAAGTCGGGGTGCGGCCTTTACGGCGAAAGAGTAAAAAAAAAAAAAAAACGAAAGTCAAAACCAGCACGAATTTGCACATATGGGACTACTCACGGTAAAATAACTACCATATTTGCCGGCGTAAAGGCCGCACCCCCAACTTTGACATTTCGTAGAGGGAAAAAAAAAAAAAAAAAAAAAAAAAAACGGACCAAACAAAAAGATCGTAATTTTCTTGTAAAACACTCTTTTTTTTTTTACAAACTATACCAATTCATCAATATTCTTATAAATCAACAAGAAGTTAAACTCAAAAATGATCATAATTTAGCAGATCTTCATCGACTTTTAAGCTAGTACTGTATCGTACGCAGATTTGGTATCCTACAATACCCCTTCCTCGATGTGCGGTGTAATCCGAAATAGCATTTTTCGACCTGCGCAGTTGCGTTGCGCGGCAGCTAGCTCCGTAAGTAACGGCCTGTCCCTTTGTTTACTTTTTGGCGATGCAATGGTACGGACTTAGATCTAGATCTATCGGCAGATTTTTTTAGAAAAATAAGTTTTTTCGTCTTCATGTCAACTATGCAACATAAAAATGTCGGTAAGTTGTGTGGAGTTATTCTAGAATTGTCCTGTACCGTTGTCTAGTCATGCTACCGTTCCTATAGTCCCATACGTGCAAATGGACGTGATGTTTTGACCGCTGAATTTTGTTGTTGTTGCGTATACGCCGCACCCCGACTTTTTGATTTTTTCTCACCCGAAAATACTGCGGCCTTTACGCCGGAAAATACGGTATACCACTATGGTACAGGACATTTCTACACATCTTACGCGAACATCCATCCGAAGTCGCCATTTTGTTTTCCATTTCATGCAGTTTCGCAATTTCGCATTACACTGTACATTGTGGTAGGGGTGTACATGTATATCGGACACCAAATCTGCCTGCGATCACTTTTTTAGCTAAACTTCCAGTAAAGATAAATTTGGTATCAGTTTGTAAAAAAAAAAATAGTGTTTTCGAGAAAATGATGATTATTTTGTTTTGTCTGTTTGTTTGTTTTTTTTTTTTTTTTTTTTTTTTCTTTTTTTTTTTTCCCTCTTTGAAATGTCAAAGTTGGGGTGCGGCCTATGCGGCGGTGCGGCCTTATCGCCGGCAAATACGGTAAGCCGAAAACTAAGTAAAATACTCATATTTCATATTTCAAACTCAAGTACTGAATGTAATAATGGCCCACAGACCTATCCAATAGACGACAACACCTCTATAGATCACAACACCTCTTCCTTATACATGCCTCTGTAATTATGTGTAGCGATCCAGACTTTGTTGAAACTATATTAAATTGAAGATTAAGTGAAGCCTTTTAATCTCAGTCTGAGTGTAGGGATTATATCTACTTGACCTGGCATAGATATGTAGTTCAATTATGCATCAATATTCAAGGTTAAATGTTCACTTCTTGTCATGATGATGATACACATGCATGTAATAGTATAGTATTAATGACTGCTTTGAGAGACATAGTTGTTTTTATACGCTCAAGGGGAGGTTACAATCGATTGTAACCTCGTATAAAAACAACTATGTCCCGAAAATTAAAGCAGTCATTAATACTTTTATTTACCGAAAAGGGTCATAGAATACATGTGTGACTCAATCATGGTAATCAAATTAATACTTTTATGTACCGAAAAGAGTCATAGAATACATGTGTGACTTATCAATCATGGTAATCAAGTTTGTTTAGGCCTACGCTATCGAGACCTAGGGTATGTTTATGCTCAACTTTTTCTGGCCAGAATGAGGCATCTGTTACGCGTTTAGTTCAAAACACGGTTGCATCCTTTCTCACTTTTGTAGAATCACCGAAAAACGGCGATCACGATCACCGATCGTAACCTCACAAAAAGGTGCGTTTACAATTTGTAAATGCGTTTAAATGGGGTCAACGTAGTGGGTCTACGTAGCATGCACAGTGCAGGTTTGCGAATCCAGCTGCAAGGCCAATTAAGGCCACCCAGGGAGAATTGCCTGGAGGAGCCAGAGAAGTGAGCATAAACAGTACACCCTGGAACTGCGATTATGATGAGCGTTTACGATGTGCGTTTCAAATCGCTCATTCTGCCTTCAAAAATTGAGCTTAAACGCACCCTTAGTCTAGGGTGTCTGATCACGCACCACTCGAGTTTGTGTGCTAAAATCCTTCCCATTTAGATTGC